TAACATGGGCAACTTCTTTCTATTTCACATGTCATTAACACTCACATATTAAACAGCTTTATACTTTCCAAACCTCAATGACACTTTAACAATAAAACATCTTTGTATCATAAACTTTATATAAAATAGTAAAGTGTGCGGGAGTACCAACCTTCATAATGAAAAGAAAATAAATCTATATGAATGACCTTCCTACAAGACAATGCTCTGGGCGCTACGACCCACAATAACAAAACATTACCGCGACGTTTCTGCTAGCGGCCTGCGCAGCCTGACCCCGCTGTCCCACACTGATGCGGGTCAAACGTGCGGCTGTGCCCACAAGTGTTACAGGTACTGTCTTACTTCTTTACAACTTAGCATGGAGATGAAACATTGCTATGTAACAAACAGTGGTAGTATTTTTTACCAGGTACTAACCTGCAAATACAGGTAAAGTTCAGGAGCAATGAAGACAGTGCACTCGGTTTGCCTCTCAGATTGCGTCTGAATAGTGGGCGGAAGTCCATCCCCCTAAAGCAACTGGGTTGCACCTGCCTTAAAATAATAGTTCCACCTGAGGTGTTGCTCCATTTTTTTGTACCTTCTGTACAGTTCATGTGACAAAATAATATACAGGTTAAATTGGTCATGTTACCAAAGTCATTTTGAATATTAATAGCCACACAAAATAACTGATAAACAAATTAAATAAATTAAATTAAGTGATTAACACAAAAGTGGCCATGCATTTTGGGTGTGCCACACATTCTTTGTTTATCTGCAGTGTCTGCTAACAACCTATGAGTTATGAGTAACTCTGTTCATTTCTCGTGCATCATTTTATAATCCTGTTCCTCTAAAGTAAAGCCTGACTGGACGTTCACTTCCTCCGCAGCTGCACTCGTGCTCTCACTGCATGCGCTGAGTACATACAGCTGCACAGGAGCGCACATATGCACTGCAGTTACACAGTGTGCGCGGTCTGCTGCAGAGATGTTGTCTCTGCGAAAATTTGTGATGTTTTTGCTCAAAAATGCGTGTTTATTTCATCATGTGCAGAAAGCGGCAAAACACATAAAAATGGATTTAAAGACTTAAAAGTAATTCCGCTGTGGTTGAGGAGGAGAACGTTACGAAACATGCACATGTTCTCCCTGGTGGACTTCTGTGACGCTTTTTAAACTGTTGTTTTAGTTTCACTTTGCTCACACTGACGCACAGCTTTGCGTCCCCAGGCTCTCCAGCCGTAGGTCTAAACAGCCCGCAAGGAGCACGGCGTGTTTGTGCAGCTCTGATGAAGACGAATGGGATGGATGATTAATTGATTTGTGGCCACGTGATGTTTCGGGGGATTACAGAGAAGAGGACCCACCTACCATCTCCGTGATTTACTCTCACTCCCCTCCCCTCCTCTTCTTATTCTCTCTCAGTGATCTAAAAGCCAGTCTCCCGCGAGCGGAGCGCAAGCTTTTCTCTAATCACCAAAACGCGAATGCGCGGAGGAGAGACAAAGTGCACTTTGCGCCACTTTCGCCACATTTCTCCAAACTTTCAATGGGACCCGTGGACTGGTCCGAGCCTGCTGCATCTGTTTAACCTGGAGCCGCAGTCATGGTCTGTTGCGCATTTGGTTCAGTGCGCCTGTCGTTCTTTGGCTTTTTACGCATCGCTCTGCTGCTGGGGGTCGTGCAATTAGCAGCAATAGCGCAACATGGTAAGTGCATGCCTTGTTCAAACGCACCGGGTTTTTTTTAAAGACTAGTTTGAAGACTTTGCCATGATCTGAGCTGAAATAGAAGCAGATGCAAAAAGCGAGACTGAGAGCGGACTTCGAAATGTGTTCTTAAATCGAATGCAGAGATAAGAAAGTGTTACGTGTAAAAAAAAGAAAAGAAAAGAAAGAAAACTGCGTGACTTGGACTGCATTCCCATCACTCAGCTCCAAACTGTTAAATGGACCCTTCAAAGGCACCAGGACACAGCCAAGCCAATCACAAAGAGACAGAGAGAAACAATAATTAGATGTTTAAATCTGGAGGAAAGATTTTTTTCTCTCCTTCTGATCTAAAGATGTTTTTAAAAGATTCTTAATTGGTGCAGAAATTGTTATCTGATCACAAGTTTCTTTTCTCTTTCATGCAATGGGGTTATTTTCCCGTCATTTAGAGATAAAGTCGTGCATGTGTGGGCTTTAATTCACCAACATGGAGCTGATTATCATTTGGAAAAAATGTGGCAAGTTGAACCCAAATGGAAATAAAAGTGTCAAACTTGTGAAGAGAGTCAGAAGTTAAGAGGTCATAATTGAAACAAGATCAGAAAACAGAGTTATGACTCATTAAAGAGTATAATTCACTGTTACTTAATATTATACAGTAATTTCAAGGGATTGTTGCTCTCCCTGGTCTTCTTCCCTTGCTGGGATTTCAAAGAGGACTGTAAAAAGGTGCACATAAAGGTCAGGTTTGGTGAGCTGCTGTTTTCCCAGCTGTCAGAATTTAGGATGGGAGTGAATGCAATGACCAAAACAAAGAAAATCTTGGAGCTGCAATTGTGCCGATTACGAGTCCTGACTGTAACAAAAATGCGCTCAGTTTACGCCAACCTGTCACCCTGTCTTCGATCTTGCTCACATCTTTGTCTGCAGGGCGTCCAGCAGCAGTTCAAAGCACACCATTGTAAACTTTAAGTCATAAAATGAAACAATGTGGGGTCCTCCCAGAGGTTTCCAGACATTACTGTGCCAAAGCAAAGTTTACCACAATTTGAGCACATTTTGTCCTGCTGACAGCAGCCTTCTATTGATTTGTACGTGACATTCAGTAGTAAAGAAAAGAAAAAGCTTATCAGGTAAAATAGTACATTTAACCTGCTGACCTTGCAGATGTACCATGAAGAAAAAGTGTTAAAACCAGCTGAACCTCCAACAACCATGCCACATTTAAAGTCACTTAAATCGACTTCTTTCCCCATTCTCATGCTCATATTGAACTTGGCTACATACCTAAGTGCATTAAGTTGCTGCTATGTAATTAGTTAGTTATCATTAGGTATATATGTGAATTATAAGTCTCAAGGTTTTTAGCATGTGTGTGTGTGTGTGTGTGTGTGTGTGACAGAGAGAGAGATTGGTCCCCTTTATGGACATAACAGCATCACTGTCCAGTGATAAAAAAGTTTTACAGGTGTGCTGCTCAGAACAAAATGAAGGTTGGGTTCAAACACAGGTGAAGGCCGACCTGTGAGTACAGAGGACTCGTGTTGTCATGTAATAATGTCCTAATGACTACCTGTTCTTTACACAACTACTTGTCCTCATCCTCTTCCTGAAACATCCTGTTGAAATTCCTGTCTTTTAAGGTTCTTCCTCCCTAAGACTAACTAGAGATTAACAATCCAACACAATGAGAGACTTCTTCACTTTCCCTGAAGTCTGAGGTTTTATTAAAGAGTTTCGGGGTCTGTCAGTAGTATAAATGCCACTTTCCAACCTCTTTAAGGAACTTGTGGCAAAATATGTATTTTCTGGTTATCTATCATTACTGCTTCAAACCGTGTTTTTAAATAAAGACAATGAAGCATTATAAGTGTTACCCTTCACAAAAATGCTTTCATCAGTGAGAGTAACTCATCATCATCCTATCATTTTAGCATTTTCATTCAGGCTCTTTGCCCTTTCTCTGGTGGTCTGACTGTGTAGTTTCTGTCTGTGGGCCCTCTGGGAAAAAGGCCAACAACTCCCTTGGTGATAACACAACACTTTTGCTGAGAAACTGTAGTAACTGGAGTATTCCCAGTTAAGTCCCTGCACATCTGGGCTCCTGAGGGTCTTCCCTCCCAGTGGGATAACTCTAAACCCCCCAGGGGGGCTGCTCATTTACCTCCCCCACTTCTTTGTAAACTCATTAAGACGCCAATTGGAACAGTTTAGCCAGCAGCACCTCCTTCCTGAAGCCCTGGTTGTTTGGACAACCTGTGACCTCGAATCTTGTCAGCGGAGCTTCCAGACGAGGTGGACGCTCAGACAGGCGACAGTGTAAACAAAAGCATTTGGTTTCAAGAGGCTGTCAGCACGCAGACCAGCCGGTAAGCCCTTGTTTAGGCTTGGAATCACTGGCGGCAACTTTACCTTGCCCAATCATGACTTTGTGGCTCCTAAAACCTCCTAAATACCCTGAACATTTGTTTTCCCTGATGTGACTTTACTCATCTGCCTCTAAGGTTTGTTAACAAAGACCTCTGCTGACAAGTTTGACCTATTTCACTCCACAGATGTAGAGCTTTTGGGAGTGTGGCGGTGTGGAAAAGTACATGTTTGGTGGAAATAATTTCTCCCGTCTTCTCAGCTTCCAGCTGCAGGCAGTGTTCAGAGGCCTGTCATGTGCCGTTGGTTTTAGCGTCCTTTCCTGGGGCGAGTTAAGAAAAGCGAGAGGCTCACTGGAATTTCTGTTATTCTAGGCAATTTAGATAACCTGTGGGGGTGAGATGTTCAACACCCTAACACAAAACAGCAAATTGTTTCTGTTTGTCACCTTTTCCTTTAGACAGCTTTGAGTTTTGGTCACTTACTGGTTCGTCACATAATTCTTCTGTTATAATAAACACACTGTTTTCTCACTTCTGGGTTTAGAGATCAAATCAGAAGGTCATACTGAAGTTAAAACTAAAGGCTGCTCAGTTAAATCCCTCATCTTCAACTTTAAACCGAGGCTTATGTCCGTTTAGTGTATAACTGATTGTTTTTTCACCTTTTTGTGGCTTTGCAAGACTGAGAATTAATTAACTTTGATATTGAGTGTACTTTAGTGTGCAAAAGTCTTGAGTCCACTAGTTCTCCAGGCTCCTTGAAGGACATTCAAAGCTCTTCTTTGGATATTTCTGCCTTTTGTTCCGTTCTCTGTCAACATGATCCCACACTGCTTCAATAATGTTGAGGTCCGGGCTCTGGGGAGGCCAATCCATGACTGATAGTGCTCCACTGTGTGTTTTTCTATACAGGTGTGCTTTTATTGCATTGGCAGTGTGTTTGGGATCATTGTCATGATGAAAAAAGAAGCTGTTACCAATCAGATTCCAGATGTTATTAGATGGTGGATCAAAATCTGATGGCACCGTTTCTGTGTTCATATTCCATCAATTTTGACAAGATCTCCAACACCACAGACTGAAATGCAGCATCAACAATGACATAGACTCCACCGTGTTTAACAGTTGCCTGTAAACACTCACTGTTGAACATTTGCATTTTTTATAGATCCAACTAAAAAAATGGGAACAAACAATGTGTTTTTCTGAAAAGCTGCTAGTAACATAGTGCCTAAAGATACATTTTAAATCAGTTTCTTTTCTTTTTTTTAATTGTCTATTATGCGTAGATACAACGCTGGTTCATCACTTGAGGTGGGGCCTTTTTTATCCTTGAATGATTCATAGGTCAGTGTGAAGTGGCGTAGGAAACAAAAAAAGAGTAAAAGTTAAAAGTTTTCACCTAAAGTCTTGTGATTTTGTTTTGTCTACCTCTGCAATGTCTGTCTTTTACACAACTAAACAGCAGGACTCTGACACAGATAAAGACCTGATCTAATCATGTCCAGTTTTCATTTCCTTTAGCTCAAAGCAGATGGATTGAGAGGAAGGGGTTTAAGGTTTGAAAACACTGCTTTTTTCCTGCAGAGGCAAGCTTCCAAGAGAACATCATCAACTTAAGGTTCTCATAACATACGCTCTCTGTAGCTTTTTGTTTAAGGCATATGAACAAATTGAAAATGCCAAAGCGCAGTCTTCTTTTCCACATTATTTTGGCGTCTTTACCCCTTCCCTTTCACGAGTTCTCAGTTTGACATCTTTGTCGTTCTTGTTCTCAGCTCCAGAGTGTTACCCGGGAGGTCATCGGAGTTTGAGCAATCCTTATCGAAGTGTCGACTTTGACTCCACTGAAATCCAGAACACCGCCATCCAGGATCTGATCTGTGACCACTCGCTGTCACCAGGCTGGTACAGGTTCTGGATCAACAACAAGCCAGCAGAGATGCCGACCACCTGTGTTGAGGTAAAATGGTCAAAATGACAGGCAAGTTCTGTCACAGAGGTGTCTGTGCTCACATTTCTTCAAGTCTCTACACTGACGGCTTCCTTCACTGCCAAAAAGTACCATTAAATATCTATCATTCAAACAAGTGATATAATAGACACCTCCAGTACAGGTGCAGAATATAATAACCACCTCTATAAAGGTAATGACTGTTTCTGTTTGCGGCCTCCTGCAGATGAACCGCTGTGGTACCCAGGCTCCGGTGTGGCTGTCACTGAAAGACACCTCACTGCCACGTCCTGGCGAGATCCGCCAGCTCTCCGCCTGTGCCACCTGGCAGTTCTTCCACGGAAGTTCCAAAGACTGCTGCCTTTTCCGTATCTCTGTCAAGGTGCGAAACTGTGGAGAGTTCATGGTTTATTACCTGCAGCCAACGCAGGGATGCATGGGGTACTGTGCAAGAGGTGAGCATTCATCTGCTTTATTTTTGCTGTAGAAGTTCAAAGTTTAATGAAAGTGTTGGAGCTGATGTAGATGGAAATATCAGCAAGACCTTAATAAAGGAAACCTGAGGTTGGATGGTTTAGCCAAGCCACTCTAAGGGGTTCGTTTGGACGAGAAAACGAAAACCTCACTGACTTAACTTTATTCTTAGATTACAGAGATGAATTATGGTATATGTTTTTAGCCTAATAGTAGAAAGATATTTGATGAATCTCATCTTTCAGTTGCTTCAGATTTGGGGCCCAGGCTATGCCCAGCAGGGGAGGTGGAAGTCAACGGTCAGTGCAAAGGTACAAGACTCTATGTGTTCATCTCTGTATAAAGAAGGTCCCTGCATCCACAATTTACTGTAAAAAAATTAAAAAGAAAACCAATTAATGTGACTTCAGCAACTGCCCAAATCTGCTTTTAGAGGCCGTCCCGTCCCTGGCCTCCCGACCGGTGATCACTGCGGAACTCATCGGCCACAGCGTCCACCTGAGGTGCTCCTTCGTCTCGCCACCATGGAGCCAGACACTGGGCTTCCAGGTGGTTTGGGCCAGACACATCAGCCATAGCATGAAGGCCGAGATCAGACAGGAAGCCACGCTGAAGCCCTTCTCTGTGGTGGAGATGGATGGCGTTCACTTCAGGCTTGGAGAAACGGTAATTCCTGCCAGACCGTGTTGGAAGTTTTGGGGAGCACATGTGGTGGGTTTGACCTCCTCGAGTGGCCCATGATCATGCTGAACTGATTTTTTTTTTCATGAGTTCAGGCTCACAGAGAAAAAGCAGAGAAGCAACATGTGTCATATGCAGTCGAGAGAATGCAAGAAAAGGGTGGGGAAGTTAAATCAGTTGCAGGTTGGAAAAGCCTTGCTCCATATGTGCCCCATTTAAGCCGATCTCCATTCACATCTTCACAGTGAATTCTAGGAAGTTATTTTTACATGAACCGACGCACGTATATAAAATAAAGCTGTTTCTTATGTTGATATCTTGGCAACTCTTCATTCATGCAGTAGTGTAGCTGTTCTTGCACAACGATACAGGAAGTGTTTGGGATATAGACATTAAATCTGGATGTTTCTTGTGAGATACCATCTTGTCAGCTGTTTGGATGATGCCTTCTTGCAGACGAAGAGAAGTTTTGCACGTTATCATTTGCCTAAATCCCAAAATGTGTATTTTCTAGTTCCAGAGTTGTCCATGTGGCTTTCCTTTTTCAAAATTCTCGGGTACTTGGGTTTTGGGGCTGCCAAAGTTTTGCTTTGTTTGTTTTTTTATCCAGTTTCAGCAGACAGATTGCATTACACTTAATTATCTTGAGAAGGGGAAAATGGCTTTGAAAAATATCACACAGAGGCAGACCTTACACTATCATTGCACACCAACGCAGGGTACCCACTGGCTTGTCTGGCTTGTCTGCATCTTGTAATCAGGTCATTTCTTGAGGTTTGCGACATAGCCACCAGATAGGTGGGTCAAGATGTCCTCCTGGTCATTGTTTAAAAACGTAGATTTTTTTAACAGGCAACAAAAAGCCAAATGAAAGTTTATGATTTCAAGATTGAATTAAGCAAATGCAAACCTTGTTTTGTCCTTCGCAGGCAGTGTTTGCTATTTTGCTACCAACACCTTTTCAACTGTGACTCCTCAGCAAAACTCTACAAAAAACAAAAAGTGTCCAGCACCAAGAACCATCTGCATTCAGGGCTTAGGAGAGAGCAGATTCACAGTAGCACGAAAATACCAGATACATTTTATGGTTTGTTGTAGTTCTGGGTTATTTTCAGAATGCTCCAAATTATTATTAATAATCAAATCAGAATGGTAGCAGCTTTATTTCTTCACCAGGTTGCCTTTAGGGCGATGGAAATAGTTTATTCCATAAACCTTAGCACGTGGATGTTCTTTGACGTCATCTTTGTGTCCTAGGAGGATCAAATTTAGCTTTGTTTTGAAAGCTCAGTATGCAAGACAATAATCAGAAGAACTGAAGATTTACCAGGAAGAATAATTGCTAATAGCACTAAAACCAGACAGCAGCAAAAGAATAAAGAAATCCAAAGATTGGTTAAAATGACAACTAAATATGAGTAGCTGTCGACAAGATTGCCTTCTTGCAGCTGAAGCTGACGCAGAGTAGCTGCACTCCTGCCCTGCACTGGAGTAAAAACTGTTATGATTGACCTTTGTCTTTCCAGGATGTCAACACGCTGCTGCACGGCCTCATTTCCATACAGCCAGACTGCGCAGGCTGCTGATAGCTTTCATTTCCTTGAGAAGTGATATGTTGCTAGGAAACACAAAGTTATTCGATTTTTCAGCGCGATACTATTTGACACCGAGGTGATGTCACTCCCAGTTTTTGTCATCTTGCAGCTGTGGACCACGTTGCTCCCATGTCTGGACACCAGGGTTGTGTTAGTTTGGTCTAGCAGATGTTACGGAGGGCTGGGTTTGCTCATGGGGCTCATCTTTAGCGTGTGTTGATATAGCAGCTGGGCAGGGTCAGAGGTCATCTTCATTTCTTTTAAACCATGAAAGAGAGTTAAATATTAGTGCTTTTGGAGCATTGGTTTGTTGTGTTATGAGCTATGGAAACATTTTGATGAATCACCAATACAGTGACAGTTGCACACTGCTGGTCTTTTTCATAACACAGTGTGAAAAGGTAATGCACTCTTCCACTCTCGTTTATCAACATCAGTTGACAGTTACATAGCTCAAGTTTGTTTGAGCAATCAAAATGTGAAAGGTGGTTTCAAACTCCAGTATACCTTCATCTTTCACTTCTCTTAGATCAGTGATTCACAGAAAGGGCTACAAGTACCCCATGAAGGACAAATGTGATGATGGGACTTGAACAGCAGAAACTGTAACTGAAAGAAAATAAATGGATACATGAGTTAAATGAAAACAATTATAAAGTGAAAATACGTTGGACTTGGTCACTAAAAGAATGTTAACAGCTGATATTGCTAGCTAAAAATATGAAACTAGCAAGTGTGTAAAAAACTACAAGCAGTGGAAATCAGAACGGCACATTTAGATTTTTGAGCCAAACATGCACGATAAACAACTGAAAAACTAGCTAAAATGTATAAAATGTTAGACATTATTAGGTAAAATTATTAGGTGATTTACTTAAACATCCAGATTTAGTGTTTCTCAGTTTTCAGATTCATAGTTTAACAAGCGATGTTTGCTGATGCTAACACAAAGCTAGCCAAGAACCCAGACTGAGGTTAAAGTATGAGTGAATGCCGACCTCTACGTAGACTCACTGTAGCCATCGCTTTAAAGTCTCTTTGAACTCGTTTTCATTTTTGTTTTTTGTTGTCCATTATCAGTATCTAGCATGTTTAGGTTTAGAGACATAGTCCAACCACTTTTGCTCATTTTTGGTTATTTATCTATTTGATGCATGCGTTTATTTGTAGCTACAGTTTCTGCTGTTCATGTCCCATCATCATGCTTGTTCTTCAGTAGCCACTAAAGGTAGTGCATAAATGGTTTAAATAAGAAACCAATAGTTATGGATAAAGAGTTGAGATGGTTTCCTAACCATAAAGGGGTTTTGGGGTCTGGCTTTTTTGTTAAGTCGGATGAAAAAATGATTTAAAAGCAGCTGATTCAGACTTCATGCTTCAGCTGATATTTCCCCTGTAGTTCTCCTGCAGTGTGTCGACTTTCAGAGCCAACTCCAGCCACACAAGATCGACTTCAAAAGAAAGTGAGAGTTTCTACGCTGGACTGAAGGTAAAGCCTCCTCTGACTCTGTTTTAAAACCCCATTTTAGTTTCATTTCTCAGTGAGAACCTCATAGACTCTTATTCCTCCTCAGTTCTCTCCAGATGTGCTCCACATAGCAGAGAACAGTAAGGAGCACGAGGTGACCGTCCACAGTACCGTCCCCATCCCCTGCTTCACCTCCAACTTTGGCCACCAGTGTGGAGTCCCTCTGGCTCTGACTGTCAACAATCCAGGTCAGACCTGTGGGAAAACAGGAGATAGAGTCTGTGTCATCACCTTTATCTTCAAGGACATAATAAAGCTACAGCTTGAGTATATTTAAGGTTAACCTGCAATTTAGTTAAGTACTGCCTGCAGCAACCACTACAGTTGGACAAATATTACCCCTATTTAAGCATTAATGTACCCGTTATTGGGTAGCTAACAAAAATCACCAAACACAAATTAGAGCAGCTGAATTAACTACTGAGGCCACAGTCGCGCATTAATAAAACAATCAAAACAATTTCAAGCATTTCTCATTTCCTCTGGGATCTTATTATTGTTAGTCCCAGATTCACCTTGTACATCATCGCATTGAAGCCGGCTAAGAAAGACATCATTACAGTTGTGCAGGCAGCTGTGTCCTGTCTGTTAACATTAATTTACTGCTGTGTTGACATCCACAGACAGCCTTGGCCATGAGGTCTCCAACGTGGTGCTGTCCGCCTGCCAGGTGGAGCTCCAGCCAAACACCTGCAGTGAAGGCAGCTGCGGTCGGGCAAAGTTTTTTGTCACTGCTGTGACTGATTTCACACGTGACGGGAACCGCATGAGCCTGATCGGTGCTTCGCCTGGACCCTCTGCACCACGCCTTTGGAGAAGCTACGTCCCGACATCCCTCAAAGTGAGTGAGGTCATTTAGAACGACAGATTGTTTGTGTGGATAAAAACAGAATAAAATATGATTATATGAAGTTTTCAAATCATTGCATTGTGTTTTTATTTACATTTTATATAGTGTTACAAAGTTTTGGAAATGGGTTTGTTTGTGTGGTGAATACAGAGTCTGCTAGGATCTGAAGAGCTAGATATTGCAGCTACAGTTGTCCTACACAATATCCTTGAGGCAGATTGAGAGATGCTTGATGATTTTTCCACTTTTGAAATAAATTTCAAACCATTCGTGAGGATCTTGGAAGGAAACCCTGAGGAGGTTTGGGCGACAGCTGGAATCTGAGGCATGCAAGTTAAATGTGGCATGTGGAGCAACCTTAAGACGACTTTCTTTTTTAGAAAAACTGTCACACAAAGGCTCTCCTCTGGCCCTTGAGGAGCTTTTAATAAGATCTATAGGGTCACTAGTGGGTAAAAGCTGGGTTTGTGGCACCATGGACGCTTTGTGCTAGGGTCCTACAATAAACACAGTCCTTAAATGGGTTCCTGGACTTATTCAGGATAAATAGAGGGTCTTCAAGTGGCATTTCAATGGATTCCATTATGCCTAACAGGAAGAGAGGACCAGCTTCTAAAGCTAAATGTCGATTGAAAGTATTACTTTAATTAAAGAGAAATACTACAATGGCTCCAAATAGCAGGTTTTTCCATCATACTGTTTACACATACACACAATTATACAGTTCTTTTTAACACTGAAGGAGAGGTTGTGGTTCAGGACCAAACATGCACTCGTTTGATGGTTTGACATAATACTTAAAGAGCGCCTCTCTAAGCGGTCATTAGTTGTGTCCATACAAGCGGTGACATTATGTAAGATGTGATGTCAGCCCTCCAGACACTCTGTCTCTGAGGAGCTTTTTCATCTGTGTTCAGTGAAAACATCAAAGCCTAAGACCACAGGGTCAGAGGGTATAGCCCCCTTAATCTTTCTTCTGGTGACCTCTACCTCCCGCCCCCAGGTCACGGTCCAGGATATTCCCACTTCCACGTGCTACTCTTTGACTGACCCGCATATCATTACACTAGATGGCAGGTAACTTACCTCCAGCTTTTGTTAAATGAATCCATTTATAGGGCAGTTAGTGCAACAGTTAAAGTCTTCAAATTCTTATTAAAAAATCTGCATTTCCTTCTCAGGCGTTACGAGAACCACCAGACTGGCACATTTGTCCTTTACCAGAGCCTCTCCAGGGAATTCGAAGTCCATTCTCGCCAGTGGGACTGCAGCAGTCGACACTACTCCGTTGCATGTAACTGCGGCGTTGTAGTGCGAGAGGGGAACGAGCTTGCCATCTTTGACATGTGCAATGGGCAACCGCAGGAAACGAGGCCACAGCTTGATCTTAAGAACCTCGGTGACAGTGAGGGGAGTCGGGTCAGGGTGCTGGAGTCCCACCAAGGGAAGAAGGTCACCGTAGGTATCTGGACATTTGGAAACTGGTGTCTAGTTATTTGGCTAAATTCATGGTAAAATCATGCAAGAATGATCTGTTCTTCATTCAGATCTGTCATATAAGTTGAATTTTTAATGCATGAGGAGACTATGTTAACTAGCTGTTGGATGTGACTCTCCTCTTGTAGTTGATCTTTCCTTCCGGGGCCTTTGTTAGGGCTGATGTTGGTGATTGGGGGATGAGCCTGTCTGTCCGGGCACCCAGCGTGGACTATGGAAACACGCAAGGCCTCTGTGGCACCTTCGACCGGAACGGCAACAATGACTTCCAGGCCTCCGACGGTGCGTTCTATGGCCCTGATGACTTGCACAACTTCATAGAAACCTGGAGGTCAGTCTGGGACACAGTGTAGATTTCTAATTTTCAGAATTATAATCTTTCCTTATTGCCACCATAATTCAGCTGAAGTCTCCACAACATTATTTGTTTTTCTTTACTTTGTGTGTGTTAGGATAGCTCCTGGTGAGAGTTTATTTGACAAAACACCTCCTGGTATGACACAGGACCTCAGGAGGCCTTTCTGTCGGTGCCAAACAGGATCCAGCACTTCTCAAGAAGCTGGAAGGGGGATGAGAAACTTGTACAATCCCTCTGCTCACTCAGACTGCATAGCATATGATAATGTGGATTACACATCTGTGTTCCCCTCAATGGACACAACAGTTGAATACATCAAGAGCCTGGAAAAAGAGGAAAGCATTCTGGATATATCTGCCTTCAGCAGTCACCCTGTCGAGAGGCGGCACCTCTGGTTTCACGGCAAGAATAATCAGAACAGTGACAGGGATCCTGAACTGGACGATGAGTTCAGAAAGGATCTTCTGCTTTCTGTTGACAGGCCAAAGAGACAGGCGTCATTCCAGCCTGTGTTAATGGCACAGAGCCTAAGCCAGGCTGATCTGGAAAGCTACGCCTATTTTTTCCCAGAGGATCACCAGGTGGAAGCTCGACCAGAGGTGCAACCCCAGTGGCCCACGCCAAGTGGTCTCACCTCAGCAAAAGCCCTTGAAGTATGCCAACTGGCTTTGGTCAACTCCACTGTTGGAGCAGTGTGCCGGGAGCTGCTGGGACGCCGCCTTGGTGAGGCAGTGGATCTCTGCATGCTAGACCTACAGCTTAAAGATGACCTGGGTTGGGAAGAGGCGTTGTTGCCATACCTGGAGAATGAATGTGAGAGAAAGCTGCTGGAAAATTTGACCGACAGAGCCTTGGAGGTGGCCAGTACACCGGGAACGTATGGGGAAGTGATTACTGCGCTGCGATGCCCCAATTTCTGCAATGGAAATGGAGAGTGTACAGAGTGGGGCTGCCAGTGTTTTCCCAACTACAGCTTCCATGACTGCAGCCTGGCTGTCAGTGAGTATCAGGAACAGTTATACATATACCAAACGTACAACTACAGAGTAAAGTAGATTAAAAGTCACACTGATACTAATCTCTTAAAACTTGAAGTTAGTTATATCAAGTCAAAAAAAACTTGCCTTTGACCAGTCTCTCTTCTAATAGGCCAACCGGTTGAGATAACCGATTTGGAGAACAGTGGCCTCTGTGATATTCGAGTTTTCGACTGTCGCAGCATTCGGGTCTTTGGCCTCGGTTTCATTGACTCTCCTGACCTAAGCTGCTATGCCACTAGACTGAAGGTGAGGCTAAGGCTAAAATCAATTAAGAGAGTTCAAGTGCTGTTTTGTTCACCTTTCCTTTGAATTCCTTCTGCAGTACATAAACAAAGCGTGGGTTCCAGGGGAAAAACAGCGAACAAAAGCCACCTTCCTCAGCTCCAAGGCTTTAGACTGTGCTGTACCATCTCTGAGCACTGCTGCCATCAATACAGAAGACTTCATGATGGATGACAAACCATACGCACGCTGGGAGATTAAGGCAAGGCTCATTATCATTTTAACTTGGGATTAAAATCTCTTTTGTTAGGTGTTGACTGCTTTGTCTAAAGATCTTTGCGTTATCGCCTTCCTTTTCTTCTGTACTAGGTCAGCAATGACGGCTCTCAGTACAGCCAGGCAAAGACGCTGACAATCTACGATGGTATTTGTCAGGTCTGTGAGGCCTCGCGCTCTGGACTCTGTAAGTTAAAGGTAACTTGCATGCAAGACGGAGCAATGTTTTTGTTCTTGGGAAGCTAATAAAAAGAATACTTTTCGTTAAGATGGATAACATCTTAATGAAAAGTATTATTTTTATTATTATTCATTATTAAAATTGGCATAATTTGTTTGCCATCTTTATTTTTTGTTTGTAAATCACTCATAAAAGGGTAGGGAAGTGGAAAAAATGCCACAATATGGATGTTTGTCCATCTGGAGCCCTTAATTTGAGAAATCCCATTTGCTACTTTTCACAATTTTAAAATTCTTTATTTGCCCTGATGTCGATCATAGGAAACAGTTGCTTTATTGTAAAGTTTCAGTCACTATATACACTTCAGAAGTTTTAATCTTGGATTATATGCTTTCTACGGTGGCCCCTAGAGACAAAGCACGTACAAAAACCAAAGCACGTACAAGCTCCGAAGCACGTGCAAGCTTTTGTTACCTAGTGGCTACACAAGCCAGGAAGTACCAACGACCGGATTTGGTGTGTGATAGTAAAGGTAAATGAACTTTTTTTTTTAAATTATTTGAATATATATGAGTGTGGTTGTTATATCCTTGCAGGTGTTTTCCGCCGGTATCCAACTCCATGTGTTTGCAACAAACTTGCCGGGGTTTTTTGCAAATCAAGCTCAACACTGCCCCTAGCGTCCTGGAGCACTTCCGTTCTGTTTTGGAGTTTGTACGTGCTTTGTCTCTAGGGGCCACCGTACTTTTATTGTAATTGAGTTACATTTATAATTTAAAAACTTCTTGTTATTATCTTGTTATTGTTATCTTGTTATTGCAAATGGCCAATAGGCTTATATGTTACCCATTGACCAAGTGGTCCTATGACAATTCTGGGTGGACAGTGCTTGCAGGTCAGTAGATCACCCTTTGAAAGCACCATATACATCTTGGCAACCAGTTTTATGCTAGCAACTGCCAGTAATCACTCGTTAACCGGTCGAGGAATTTGCACTTTTCCTTAGCAACCAGTGGTTGGCAAATCATTGCTAACTAGTCCTTAGGCCTGTGTGATGGAAGCTTTAGACTTGAAACCAGCAGTTAAGATCATAAACACGTCATAAAATGTTTACTGTGGTCATGGGTGGATGGATGGGTCAAGTGAGACGTATGATCATTTTTCTCTTTTGTTTACGAAGCTTTCACAATGGTTTAACTTCTTTTTAAAAACCAAAATCTATACCCTTGTTTCATTTACAGTTTATAAATAAGACTAACCATAGTGTGTAAGTATCCACAAAATCATAATTGCTAAAATAAACTTTGTTCCGAGCCATCAGCTGAAGAACGGCAAAACACTCTTGTACTAGAAGGGCACAGTTGTTAGGCACTGGAGGAGACAATAGGCCCATAAATTAGGCTGTGAGACAGCCTGCTCTGTTTTTGCTGGTCTGTTTTTATTCACATGGTCTCAACAGGTGACATGTTATGAAAACCTGGACACTCCAACGTTTGTCCGTGCTAGTAGGGGATGCTGATTGAGGATGCAGATGTGATTCAGTGGGTGTTTAGTGG